GCAAGTTAAGAGAGAAGTGCCTGTTCGTCGTCTCTCTTGCAGTCACCAAGACACCTTTGACTTTGTTGTTCTACTCAGAAGCTCACCAAACTTGAGAAAAATCTTGCCATTATTATCTATAATAGCACAGAGAATCAACTAATTCTAAAGCAGTAAGGGGATCAAGACAGTGCAAACTACTCATGTAAGGGAAAGGAAGCTGAGGGGCAGAGAGGATTTCTAGATCAAGGTTGAACTGTTGGATAGTTGTAAGGTCATACGAAGTCCTGGTCTGTCTCTGTGAAATGATCTTTTGTTGCAGTGGTTCAAAGGTCACCAGGGCTCCTCTTTCTTTAGTTCTGTTTCTGGCTAGTTACTTCCTCTGAGTTCTGAGTTGAACAAACTCTTCTGAGATTTTGGAAAAATTTGTGCATTCTTAAACACAATTTCAAAAAGGAAACAGCAGCTTTACTTCAATGGGAAAGACCGCAAAGGGCTGCCCACAGATCAGTCCTTGTCATCTGTTTCTCCAGGCCACACACCTCTAACTCCCCATCTCCCAACTCTCTTCCCCAAAAATGTCAGAATTAAAAAGTATATCTTCTCCTTTGAGAGCAGGGCCTTAGCGAGACGTTCTACCATCTGCCACAGCAGGCAAGCCTTTCTCAGATTAGCAGTTGTTATGCTTGGGGTGGGGTGGGGGGAGGTAAAGGAGGTAAAACGTGCCTGTTCCCAGAAGAATACAATGTAAGAGAAAGTGTGTCTTATTATTTCTTGGTTGAAAAAATAGAGTGTTATATATCCTAGATAACTAGAGAAAGCAATGTCATATTTCTCAAGGTGGAGTAGTTGGAAAGTAGGGAGAGGAAGATGACTTTAAGACAGAATACTTATGTCATTTATTTCTTTTTTTCCTAGCACAATCTTTATTCCGACTGTGGCCTGTGGGCACTTTGCTTACTGATATTCCCAGCCCCAGCCTTTTATTTATGTGTACATAATTGTTGCTTATTCTCCATTCTGGAAACACAATGGGCACTTAGGCAAAACAAAATTTTTTGAACTTCAGGAGCTCATGCTCAATTATCTGCCACTAAAGTGCTGAAAAGTTTGGGGGAAAGTTTGGTGTGTGTGTGTGTGTGTGTGTGTGTGTGTGTGTGTGTGTGTATGTAAATACTGAAATGGAAGAAGAAAGAGCAAGAGAACTTAAATAATTTTTCTGAGGCAAAAATATGTCCCCGTGGTTCCTGCTTTTCTGAGTGTTAAGTGACTACCTAAAGGAGTAGCTTGCTTTCGCATCTTATTTTACTTAAAAAAAATTAGTAGCGACACTCCCTGCCTCAAACTGTCATTGTTAACAACCAAGTCTGTTCTGCATTCAGTAGAAATGATCACTCCTTCTTAAGGTTTAAGAAAACACGAAAACCACAAAGAATGTTTGAAATTATTTTCTCTTGGTTGGTGGAACAGAAGCCTCTCCTCCAGGAAAATGCCTTAGGCCAAAACAAAGCCATATTCATTTAAAATATATTGTTTAGTAATTGCACAGACTCTGGATTATATAAAATTTAATGCAAGGATTTCACTTTTCTAGAAAAAGTTTATAAGCAAAATAGAGTAGGGAGACATGCAGAGGATAAAGTGTTAAAAGAATCAACTATGTCAAGGGCAAGAGCAGTTCAAGAAACAACAATACAAGTACATTGTAAGGAAATCGGCCAATGTGGATGTGATTTTGTCTAGGGGTCATTCAGGAACACCTGGCTGGTTTTATTTATAAGGTGATTGTCAAATCAATCTGTAGAATATGGATGAGGTGAAATGCAGAGGTAGAGTATTATTCAAGATCATCTGTAACTTTTCAAATACAACCATCGTGCTGAAATTCCAGGGAGAATGTAAGTGACTCCAATAAAGAAACCTGTCCGTCAGTCAAGAGTGTTTATTTATTATCCCCCTGTGCCAGGCACAGTTCTAGCGAAATATGAAATGATACAAAATAAAGAGTAGTCATCACCCTTACAATCTCCTGAGAGCAAATGGATTAAATTTGCAGACACACACACACACACACACACACACACACACACACACACACACACACACCCTATGTGGGTGGTCAAGAAAATCAACTCTATGGACATATAGCAGCCTTATTTAGAAAAATTGTGATTATAAAACTAAACTTACAACATCAGAAAAACTGGCAAGTAATGAATTTTATTACAAGTAGATTTAAATGGATTTATAAAGCATGTATTTTATATATCTCATTATGCTATTCAAATTGGGACTATCCCCCTCACCCTCATACATTTACGAAAGATGTTTGTGAACTCTTTTAATTTTTAATTTTAAAGATGTGGGGTACAATTCAGGGTTAGGCATAGAAATGTTCATTATGCAGTTACCCTTGTTGATGAGGTGTGTGCCCCTCCCCCCAGGCAGTTTCCCACTACTACCAATCCCACCCTCCCCTTCCACTGGGAGTTTCCTACCACTGCCAATCCCGTTTATGAGTGAGAACATGTGTTACTCAGTTCTTTGTTTTCTGTGATAGATCACTCAGTATTATAGACTCTAAGACCATCCAAGATGCTGCGAAGCTCATAATTTTGCCCCTCCTTGTGACTGTGTAATATTACACTTATTTTGCAAATGTGGATTCACACTGATACTGAGGAGCTTCTAATGTAAATAAGATAACAAAGTTTGTGCCCACTAAACTGTAAATTCCTTGCAAAGACTGGGCCTGATTTTTTAGTGTACCTCCAGCATTCTGAAGATAGAAGTGGTAAAAGAATAAGAATGAATGAATGGGACAGGTGGGTTCAGTTTCAAAGAAGAGCCGCCCCCAGTATAATTTTAAAAAGGAAAAAAGCAGAGGACTAGGACGTTCCAAGCAGAGATATCTAGCTGACTGGCCCCAGTATGTGTCCCAGTATAGGAAGAGGGCTTGGCATTTTCAGTATGACTGAGGAAGGTCAGCTCCTGGCTCTGCCCAGTAGGAATATGTCCCTGCCCAAATGCCATTCCTTAGTTTTAGGGACATTATCCTCTTGATTTTCTGTCTCAGCCCAAGTCTCCCTGGTGGTTTAATTTTCATCACTGAATTGTTTAACAAGGGTTGGGTAATATTTCTGATGTCTGTCATGGCACTCATTTGCTATACATGTATTTATTTCATTTTGATTACTTTATTACTCAGAAAACTTCATTTTAAAATTTAACTTTCTGACTCTCTGCTTGTGCCTTCAACACTTTCGCGATGATTGTCTGCTCCTCCATAAGGAACACATGCTCAATCCTGTCACTGGCACACTTAGCACACATGGAACCATCGTGTGCCCTGTTGACTTTTTTTTTTTTTTTTTTTTTTTAGACAATCTCATAAGAACTTTCGGTTTCACAGCAGGACCTACTCCAAGTTGGCCTGGGCCCACGCCACATATGGATTTTGGTGCTTTCTTCAATCTTCTTGGCGAAAAGGTAAACAAGTGTGTCACCAGGGATTTCCCATAGCCTTGTTTGGTTAGAGGCTGTTTTGCCGGAAAGTCTAAAGCTGTATGTCAAACCCTGGACCCATTCTGTGTGCCCCTATACATCATCCCCGGAAGAACTTGATATTAACTTCAAACTGCCCATGTATGCTTCACAAGAGCAGAGATGTTCGTCTGTTTTCACAGCTACAGCCCCAGCGCCTAAAACAGTGTCTAACATAGTAGACAGGCGTTCAGTAAAGCCAGTATTTATTAAACGAATGAATGTTATTATTCTGGCCATTTGTCTTTGCTTTATCCATCCTGTTTTGGAGAACTGGGAATTGGAGGGAAATCTTTGAATTCCTTTCTCTTCTTTCTTCAGTCCAGAAACTCTGGCCAAGGGTTCCAGCAAAGAACCTTAGGTAGTGGAGATTACACACACACACACACACACACACACACCCCCGTCCCCAAACTGACTAGTCAGGCTACTGGAGCTGGGAGGTGAAGGACAGTTTGCAGAAAGTGCTTTTCCACTGCTTGCTGCTTTTGCAACAACCGTCACGACCCATGGGGCTCTTTATTTGGGGTTGGGGCGTCCCTTGGAAAGGAAAGCAGGGGCCATGCCTCGTCCGGGCCATTTGGGCGCTGCCCG